CAACAACACATGTAATTACCAGCATAGCACCGTGGAAGTGGTGCTTGTGGCTTAGGGGACTCAGATTGCTTCGTCTTGTTACTTGTAGGTTGAATCTTGGAATATAGACCTTGTTGTTGGCCTTGCATATAAGCTCATCAAGAGCAACACCCTTGTTTAACTTCACACAAGACACACCATTGATCACATTTCTTCCATTGGCCTTTCCATCATACCTATTGTAGCCAATGCCTTCCTTAATTGATGGGTGCCTTGATGACTTGTATATAGTCTTGTTGGATTGCTCTTGACGCTTGCACCCATTCTTCAAGATCATCTTCAACCTATGAATCTCCTTGTCTTTCTTCTCTAGTTCAACAAGGTTAGTTGCATATGTATTTACATCAATTTTATAGCATCTTTTACAACCATTATTAGTGGAGATATTAGAGTTTTCGGTTGTCGTAGGAGAAGTTAAAGTGCTGCCCAAAGAGTACTATAGTTTAGCTCAAGATTTTGGTATTTTTCTTCCAAGCTTGTGAGGCTTTCTTGAGCTATACTCTTCTCATTCTTGAGGCTAGCTACTAGATCATTAACCGAGGAATGTTCCTTAGTCAATTTCCCAATTGAGTCATTGGCTAAAGAGAATTCAACGGTTAACTTTTCAACCTTCATCTTTTCCTCGACGATAGATGCTTCAAGTGCAAGGTTCTTGTCTCTCTCTTAAGTGATTATGTCTACTTGCATCTCCAAGCATCTATCCCTCATCTCTAATTTCTTCATTAGTTTTTTTATTTTAGTGTAGGTCTTTTTACCAAATTTTTTTATCATGGTTGCTTCAAGTTCTTCTATGTTCTTATCATAACTATCATACTCATCACTAAAGGGGTCGGATGAGACATGTACCTTCTCCTCCTTAGCCATGAGGCAAGTTGGAGTGTAGTAGTAGTCGTTGTCGATGAGGTTGGAGAAGAGCCTTGGTGATGAAGATAAGTTAGGAAAGAGTTTTGGTGGTGAAGTCGAGTCAGGGAAGATCATGGTCGGTGATGAAGAGTGGTGGATGGCGATGTTTGTGGCTCCCTTCTTTTTCTTCTTATCATCACTTGAGTCACTATCATTTGACTCCCACTCTTCACCAAGATGAGCTTCACCTCTCTTCTTGCTTTTGTTCTTCTTGTCTTCATCTTTGTCGTGCTTGTGCTTCTTCTTCTCATTAGGACAATTGGCTATGAAGTGACCAATTTAACCACAACCATAGCAAAACCTCTTCTTGTTCCTTCTCTTCCTATCACCATAAGTCTTTCGGTTGCTCTTATTGTTTATGAACTTTCTAAAGTTTCTAATGATGAGTGCAACTTCTTCATCGGACTCTTCTTCTTCACTTTTATGAACTTTCTAAAGTTTCTAATGATGAGTGCAACTTCTTCATCGGACTCTTCTTCTTCACTTGAGGAATCATCCTTCACTTTCTTCTTCTTTTCTTGACTAGAAGATTTGCCTTCATGAGCTTGAGTTGCCTTTAGGGTTGCATTCTTGTTATATCCTATTGCATTAGGATTTTGATTGTGAGCATTGATTGCATCTTCATCTAGACACTCATGATGCTTGAGCTTTGAAAGAACTTCTTGGGGTGTCATCTCATCATAACCGGGCCTTTCCATGATCACGGACACTAGTATATTGTTCTTGGCTCTATAGGTTAACATCTTTCTAGCAACCTTGTTGTCATCCCATTCGGTGCTTTCAAGAGCTCTAATGCGGTTGACCAATGCCACAAGCCTATCAAACATGGATTGTGTTGTTTTATTTTGCAAGAACATAAATCTTTCCAATTCACCATAAAGTAACTCAATATTGCCTTTTCTCACACTCGTCTCTTTCAAATGACACTTTCAAAGTATCCCCAATTTGCTTTGCACTTTCTATTCCATTATCCTTTCTAAATTCATTTGGAACTAGGCTTGACACAAGCAATGCTACGGCTTGTGTATTTTGATGGAGATTGTGCACTTCTTCCAAAGTTATCTTTCTATCTTTATCGGTAGGAATCATCACACCAACATCCATAACTTTTCAAAGTCTTGCGGCAATGAGATGCATCTTCATCTTGTAGGATCAATCGGTGTATCTTGTTCCATCAAAATGAGGTGGCTTGCTAATGTTGACGGAAGGAGTATGTAGAGGTGAAACTTTGATGAGTTGTCCATAGTCGAAGTTCACATTTGAATATATTCCCTTTCCGTGAGCATGCTTACCGGCTCCAACATCACTAGCAGCATCTTTGTTTGTTTCATTCTTGCCACTTGATGCATCATTCTTGCCACTTATTGCATCATCAACCTTCTTGCTTAATTCTTCCTTCATCTTGCTCATCTCATCTTGCATCTTCTTCATTTCATCTTGGAAAAACTTGACTTAAGCAGCCATCAACTCTTTAGCTATCTTCTTGGCCATCTCGGTGGCATCGGCTTGCGTCTTGTTGGACTCTGACATTGTTTCTTCTTACGCGGTGAAGCGCTAAAAGAAGATCTCGCTCTGATACCAATTGAAAGGATCTAAACAATGTCTAGAGAGGGTGAATAGGCGTATCTAAAAAATTCTACACAAAATTCAAAGTCACTTGTGTCAGCAACTGTCGGAAGTCCCGACAGTTTGGGTTGGAACTCCCGACGTCGTCAAAAGTTCCAGCGCAAACTGTCAGAAGTCCCAACGCCTACGGGAAATGTACTATAAGTGCTAAAATGAATTTTGTGACTTCGATAACTTACAACCCCACTTCCTAGTGGTAAGGTAACGTGTTGGGGTTGCTCCTTTGACGCCGAAAGGTCACCACTCCGTAGATTGAGTCCAAACCCTAAGAAAATCTTTGGGGAGGAAGAGACACAAAAGAATAAAAGTGATAGTACAAGTCTCAATAACAACAAGCGCGCGGGACACAAGGATTTATCTCGAGGTTCGGTAACCCCACAAAGGAGCTCCTACGTCTTTGTTGTTGAGGTGACCATAAAGGTTGGAGTCTCTTTCACCTCCTTGCCTCTCTCAAAGCAACCACAAAGGTCACTCGAGGTTTCCACTAAGAAATCGAGGGTAATACAAACTTCCCAAGGCTCTTCCATAAGATGGAAGCTCTTGAGCGACACCTAGCTGGCTAGGGGCAAAACCCTAAGAGTAATAGACGCAAATCCAACAGGCTTAACAAAAAAAATCGAGTGCTCAAGCTTGCCAAAGTGATGCTCTCTCTCAATCCACTCTGCTTTCACTCAAAATCGTAGGGGAATCAAAGATTAGAGCAAAGGGGATAGGAGAGGGGATTCTTGAATGCTTGGGAGCTATTTTGGATGAAGGTTGGTGAGCAGTGAATAATTGAGTCATGGTTAGAAGAGAGGAAAGAGCTATTTATACACAAGGTAGAAATCCAACCGCTCAAATCTATGTCGAAAGTTTCGACGTAGATCTCGGGACTTCCGACCTATAAAGAAAACACTGTTCACACAAGGTCAAAGTCCGCACGAGCTAGTCAACGTCAGAACTCCCGACTTATGTCGGGACTCCCGACGTACGTCAGGACTTCCAATGGGCGCAGTCAGCCGGCCATCTAAAGTCAAGGTGTCGGGACTCTCGACTTGGGTCAGGACTTCCGATTGTCGGGAGTTTCGACTCACATAGGGACTTTCAACGGCCACAGTCACTGCGCAGGCCAAGTGACTGGGCATCAGGACTTCCGACATGAGACGTGACTTCCGATTGTTGGGAGTTCTAACTTACGTCGGGACTTTCGACACCAAGAGTCACCGAAAACTATTCTACGTGCTCATGAAGTGCTAGAGTGTCTCTCTTTTGATTTTATTTTTATACTTGAGCACTCTATCTTCCTTAGACCAACTAAGTTTGCATCCCTCTTTATAGTGCGGCGGATCATAAACTCAAAACCAAATATAAAACCCTTGGAGAGCGCTTTGAGTTCATCCGTCTTTACAACTTCAAGAATTGAGGGATACTATTTTATCTTTATCAACTCTTTGAATCTTTTATGGGACTAATAGCTGCGACATATCTCATTAAGATTATATTAGTGCCTAATTTGGATGTCATTAATACACCAAAACCCACATAGGGGGCAAATGCACTTTCATGTGTCTAGCACAATTCCTATGTTTAGCTTCGGGTGCCCATTTGCTGATAGCATTAAGAATTTCCAACACAAGTTGCACAAATTGTAAAAAAAATGTACCTACACATGTTTAAAATTGTAGCATCAAAAAAGTATCACAACAGCTTACCTTTTGCTGGTCTGAGATGAAAACCCATTCCTTTCCTCCTTCAACACCAACATCCCTAAAGAGCAGATCCCAAAACCAATCCCAATTTTCATTGTCCTCCTTGTCCACAACTGCCCAAGCAAGAGGGTACATCTGGTTGTTAGCATCCCTCCCAAGAGCACAAAGAAGTTCACCGTTAGTTGCTCCTTCGAATAAACACCCAACTAACCCAACAACCTTCCTACAGCCAGCTTTGAACCTTCTTTGCAAGCATGCAGACATATGTACATTCTCCTAAAAATAGGAGGCTCTACATTATCTTCCTTGTGAACAATAACAATGCTTCCTGGGTTGCTTCTGAGAAGCTCCATCTAGTAGTCATACAGCCTGGAGTACTGCCCTTTAGTTGCATCAAAAGCTTTCTTCATCACTAGTGCTTTTGCTCTCTTTAGCTTCGACATAGTAACATTGGCAAACATTTCTTCTTACACTGTCTGCAACATATGCCTAAGTTTCCAACAGGGGTTGGCAAAAATAAATTTCTCATATTTTCTAGCAACTCTAGTTGAGGTGACTAGTTTATTGTCTCTTCTAGGTGGACACACATGATTATTGGTAGATGTAGATATTTGCCAACTATCAGTCCTAGAAGTATTTGACAACAAACATACAAATGGGCAACCTTTCCAGTCACATATGGCCCTCACCCTCTTTAGATCATCCTTAGCAAACCGAATAACCTTTCTCTCATCCAAGCCATGTTTAGGATTTAGCATCGCTACTGTCTATATATGGAGTGCAATTGCCATCATCCTCATCCTCTTGCCTACTTTCTGGCATAGATACAACACCCTCATATATCACATCATCTAAGCTTGCTGCCTCACCCCTCTTGAACTTCTTCTTGAAATTCCTAAATTTCCTATATATCTGGGCTACTTCTTCATCATCACCTGAATTGCATGAGTCTCCAGGCATGTACTCACTGTCAGTGTCAAACTTCTCATCTCCATATGTCTGTCCAGGCATGTTATTTGCATGTTCTTTCTCTTTATTCGGACTACTGTAAAATTGTCTGACAAGGGCAACTTGCTTCTCTACTTCTTCTTTGCTTTCAATTTTCCTAATACTCAAAGGTTGCAGATCTTCATATTCTATCTCATCATCCTCTAAATTATCTTCCATCTCTTGCTCGTAGTCACTTGCTTCATCTGCTTCATCCTGCTCGTGAGTTTCAACATACACATCTGCAACTCCACCTTCAACAATGCAGTCAGATATGTACTGGCACACCCGGTCATCAACCAAAGCTCTTAGGCCTGTACTCATGTCTCTCCCTGGAAACAGCCAATGCAACAATGTGCCTTCTTTGACAGTGCAATGATCACGGAGATGACCAACAACTTCAGACAGTGACAACTTGTTTCGGTCTATATAAGACATAGTTTGAGTATCTCCAACATAAAACAGTCCATTGCTATTCCTCAAGAACTCCCCATTAAAATGAAACCGAACAGGGAGGAAGTCGCAAACATCCATTGCTAAGCACCTGTAGCCTACAGAGGTCCAATAAAGAACATACACGCTATGAGGTTTAGTCTTATAAAATAGGTCCAATAAAGAACATCAGTGCTTAAAATATGACTACAAATGCAACATAAAGCTGCCTATTGGCCTTAAAATATGACGAACACGGTAAAGCATAAGCTATAATCAAGACCAGATGTACCAATTACTAGTTAATTACACAAACTCCAAGCGAATCGACCATTTCCAAACAAAAACAACTCAAAGCTACAGGGATCCATGTGTGGCTTAGCACTTACTGTGGTCACCACGCGGAGTCGATCTGACCCAGTGTTAGACGAAATCCAATTCGACAACGGAGTCGCGCAAGCCTCAGCTTCGACATCCGACTGCGCCGCAACCGGAGCCGCGATGTCCGCCGCCGTGCAGCGCGAGCTAGGGTTTTGATTTGGGGGGGGATTTTCTGGTCACGGACAACCCAAGGGCACGGTCCTACTCTTTTTCATTAAGTCTTGGGCTGAGTCAACGTGGGCCTCACATCCGACGTGGCGCCGACAACGCAAAAACCAGAGTGCATACTGTTGTAGTATTATATTCTGAACAGTAGAAAGTGAAGGTGTAAATCTTTATTGATGAACAGTACACATATATATACATGCCCACGATGGGGCAGTTCCAGTGAACGTGGGAGAGCCCCGCTCCCACGTCCCGTCCGCATCTGACGTCTTTTCAATGAGTCACAGTAATCGCAATTAGTAGTTGCTAATTGCCCACTAATTGATTATTAGGAATATTAGAATATTCTTAACACTCCCCATAATCAATTATCTTACGGAGCTCCAATGTTCATCATAATTATTAATATTATTAATCCTTAGAAAACCCTGTGGGAAAAACTTAGGAACACATTGATATATCGAGGATACCATGATAATCATATAGCAATGTCTTAATATATCATCTCCTAAAAAACCCCAAAGGGGAAAAACTAGATGATATGACATACATAATGCCGACATCTTGCCTCGTTAAAAACTTTATATGAGAAACCCTTTCAAGGTAAAACTCATACAAAGAAAAAAGTATAATACGATGTGAAATGGATTAAGTATCGAGAGATACTCCCCGATTTCTCGCAAGTCTCTAAGTCTAACCATACCAATTCCTTCAATGCATTTATGAAACGTAGAATATGGTAGGGACTTTGTGAATAGATCGGCAAGATTATCACATGATTTAGTTTGCAGAATCTCAATTTCCCCATTCTTTTGCAACTCATGGGGATAAAATAATTTGGGGGTGATATGTTTCGTCAAGTTACTCTTGATGTAACCCGATTCCATTTGCACAACACAAGCAAGCATTATCTTCAAAGATAATTGTTGGTGCATCAAGTGCACCAATTCCACATGATTTCAATATGTGGTCTACCATTCTGCTGAAGCCATACACACTCTCGTGAGGCTTCATATAATGCAATAATCTCAGAATGGTTGGTGGATGTAGACACTAAAGTTTGCTTGGATGATTTCCAAGAAATTGCTGTTCCACCATTTAAAAATACAAAACCAGTTTGGGATTTGCCATTATGGGGATCGGATAAATAGCCAACATCTCAGATAACCCAATAAATTTTGATCTTGATTCTTTCTATAGAATAATCCAAGATCTCTTGTGCCATTGAGATATCTAAAAGAGTTTTAACTCCAACCCAATGACGCTTGGTAGGAGCGGCACTATGTCTTGCTAATAAATTAACTTGCAAAAGCAATATCCGTACGGGTACTATTAGCAAGATACATCAAGGCACCAATGGCACTTAGATAAGGAAGCTCAGTCCTAAAATCTTTTCACCTTCCTCCTTGGTCTGAAAGGATCTTTCTCAACTTCCAAAGATCTAACAACCATGGGGTTTTACATGGGTAAGCTTTATCCATATTGAATTTCTCCAACATTTTCTCGGATATAGGTAGCTTGATATACAAAAATCCCGATGAAAAATGCTCAAGTTGCAAACCTAAGCAAAACTTGGTTTGACCCAAGTCTTTCATTTCAAACTCCGCCTTCAAATGATGACGTGCCTCATTAATGTCATGTTCGTTACCAATGATATTTATATCATCAACGATATCTGAACACAATGCAAAAACCCGTTACTGGATTTCTTAATGAAGACACACGGGCAATCATCATTATTTGTGTATCCCTTATGTTTAAGGAATTCACTTAACCGATTGTACCACATTCGCCCGATTGTTTTAAGCCATATAACGACTTTCGCAACTTAACACAAAACATGTTGCGATTTGCCTCGAGATTTGGTATACTAATTCCGTCAGAACTTTCATGTATATCTTAGAATCCAATGACCCATATAAATATCACGGTCACCACGTCCATCAACCGTGCATAGACAGACGATTTTGTACTTGCCAAAGATATTAAATATCGGAAAGTTATGCCACTCATGATCGGAGAATAAGTTTCGTTGAAATCAACGCCAGCCTTTGCGTGAAGCCTTGTGCTACTAGCCTTGCTTTATATCTCACCACTTCATTGTTTTCATTCCGTTTCCTGGACGAAAACCCATTTATATCAACAGGATGGACACCAGGAGGTGTTGGCAATACTGATAAAAACACTTCCGCTTTTGTGAGCGAGGCTATCTCGGTTTCTATTGCATCCTTCCACTTATTCCAAATCCGAGCGCTTCTTGCACTCTACCATGGATTTTGGATCTGGATCACTTTGAAGGGTTTCAAAGAATTTGTTCGAGAGAAAAAGATGTCGACGGTTGTAGCATTTCGATCATAAGACTCTCCATCCCTATATATAATTAATAGCAATTTCATCAACCCTTAATAGATCATCATGATTTCCCAAAACAATAGATCTAGGGCCTTCCGATGTCCCAGCCTCAGTATTTATGCGCATGACTGGGCTAGGAATCAAATCAAATCTTTCTAGAAGATATTGATTAGTAACAAGGTGATTCACATCAACAGATAGTTGATCTTCGTTTACCACTTTCTTTTGTTTCTTATCTTGCACCTTGGGAATTGCCTCTCCCCCTCTTGCTTCCAAGAGGGATAATTTGAGTGGTTTTATTTGGTACCTCCACTCTTTCTGGCACATTCCTTGCAGGATAGAAAGATTTAACAACACCTTTATAGTTGGTAAACGCATCTGGCAGATTATTTGCAATGTTTTGCAAATCTATAAGTCTCTGAACTTGATGTTCAGTTTCCATAGTACGTGGATCAGAATAGGAAATGCCTTCCGCATTCCAATTAATTTCCCGACATTCATTTTTATGGTACAAATCTCCCCCTAATGCCGGAAAATGATCCTCGTTGAAAATACAATCAGCGAACCGAGCCGTAAATAGATCCCCGGTGAGAGGTTCTATATACTTAATGATCGACGGAGATGTAAATCCCACATAGATCCCCAATTTTCTGTGTGGCCCCATAGAGGTACGCTGAGGTGGTGAGATGGGTACATAAACAGCACACCCAAACTTACGCAAATGGGAAATACTTGGTGGATTTCCACGTACTAATTGCAAGGGGGAATTCTCATGATATGCAGTCGGTCGTAGTTGGATTAATTCAGCAGCGTGCAGAACTGCATGACCCCAACACGAAGTAGGCAACTTACAATTCATCAACATTGGTCTAGCAATGAGTTTAATTCTCTTTATCAATGATTCAGCCAAACCATTTTGAGTATGTACATAAGGTACAGAATGTTGAACCTCAATTCCCGTTGCCATACAATAATCATTAAAGGCATGGGATGAAAATTCAGCAGCATTGTCCATTCGAATTGATTGAATTCGATGTTCAGGATAATGCGCTTTCAACTTTATTAGTTGGGACAATATTTTGGCAAAAGCATGGTTGCGTGTCAATAATAATGACACATGAGACCATCTTGTAGATGCATCTATCAGAACAATGAAATACCTAAAAGGTCCACATATTGGCTGAATTGGACCACAAATATCTCCTTGGATTCTCTCAAGGAATTTTAGTGGTTCAGCTCTGATTTTAAGAGTTGATGGCCTTAAAATCAATTTTCCTGATGCACATGCAGTGCATATAAAATCCGAAGATTGTGGGAACTTTGCTTTATGCAAATTATGACCAAATGAATTGCAGATAATTTTTCTCATCATCCCTATTCCAGGATGACCTAGTCTATCATGCCATGTCTGGAATGAATTAACATTTTGAAAAATTACCTTATATGCAACATTAGATATAGGTTTTATGTATGTATAGTACAATCCAGATTCGAGGGAGGGAATTTTCTCACAAACTTGTTTGTTAGATCCAGTAAGTCTAGTGAAGAAAATGAATTCTTCTTTGTTATCTACATGTGTTTCAACATGAAGACCATTCTTACGGATATCTTTATAGCTTAACAAGGTACGAGTTGATTCTGGATACAATAATGCATCCTCTATCGTTAATTGCGTACCCATAGGGAGAATAATAGTGGCTCTACCCGAACCAACTATTAGAGCATCACGTCCAGCGATGGTCATAACATTTCCTTCTCTTTTCCTAAGAGTCTGGAAATATTTCATCTCCCTAAGAATAGTGTTTGTGGTTCCACTATCTACAAGACATAATTCCTCCTCAGGATTGACATCAGAAGACATCTTAAATCGATCCAGCGATCTCCTGTCTTCACGAAGTCCTTCAGGCACTGTTCCCGGCCTTCTCGCTCAGCGGTAGAACGCTCATAACGTGTTGTAGTATTATATTCTGAACAGTAGAAAGTGAAGGTGTAAATCTTTATTGATGAACAGTACACATATATATACATGTCCACGATGGGGCAGTTCCAGTGAACGTGGGAGAGCCCCGCTCCCACGTCCCGTCCGTACGACGTCTTTTCAGTAGTCACGGTAACTGCAATTAGTAGTTGCTAATTGCCCACTAATTGATTATTAGGAATATTAGAATATTCTTAACACATACCAGCTTGGGGGGTCAAGTGCA